TTTTCAACAGTCTTTAGCTCATCCTCCTCGTTCTTGTGGAAAAGAAACAAGGCTGCTCACCTCTTGAGACCAGCATCACACAGCATCGGCACTGATGTTGGCTACATACTCAGCAGGAAGAAGTCTGGAGAAGTTGCATATCTTTAAAAGAAGAAAACCTAACTTTTGAAGTTCCAGTTGCAGTGATGGTCGCATCATCTCCCTCCTCTGAACAGTCTTGCTGTTTCAATGATGTCAAAGCAATCTTTTTCTTAAACAAGTGCTTCCAGGTTTTAGGATGCTGTTTGGGGTGCCAGAGTCTCTGTCTGGCAGTGGTTTCTGGGTTGCTTCTGTCCCGAAGCAAGGAGAAGTGCAAATAGTAATAAGGTTTTATATTATTTAAATATAAGAGTAAAAAAAAGAAACAGGCTCTGCAAAGCAAATTTGAGCCAAATGAAAGTAGAAAATAAGTACGCTCTATAGGATGAAATTTGGCTATGATGAAAGAACACAGAGGCAAAGAGCTCAGGGTGGACGGTCCTTTTTTATTTCTCTCATTCCTCAGGCTGACATCAAGTTTAGACTGGCCCACGGAAAACCTGCCTGAGTTCTCTCAAGAAGTCCATGCGGGGCTCGGGGAACGGTCCTGCTCCTGCGGCCTGGGATCTTGCAATGAACAAGTTACGCCTACTTTCCCAGCCAGTGTGCCTCGCCCTCGTCGCCCCGTGAAAGACGCGCATCCCCGCAAGTCTTCAAGATGCGCTGAAGGAGCCTGAAGAAGCGGAGGTCTTTATCTTCACAGTGCTACTTCCTGCTGGAAGAGGTTGTAGTCCCTCCCTGCTGGAGTCACGTGCTCTGCGACTAGCTTTGGGTCTTGTGGCTCTTGGCTGGAATGTCGAAGAAACAAACCTGCCAGAAGATAATGAAAAAAGAGTTAGTGACCGTTAAGTTGTCTATCCGACGGGAGAAAGAAAATAACTTTACCATTAAGCTGGGGGTGTGGAGCCCACATATGAGGATTTCCGTGCTACCTGTACAGGAGAAAGTATGGTTAAAAAAAAAGATAAATTATTGAGAGCCTGAGATTTGTACTCTTAGCAAGATTACCCACATTATATGTCAATTAAAAATCACAGCTTAAATGCAGGTGCCTACTTCAGCTGTGTGAATTAGAGCTACAGTGACTACTTAGCTGCACCCAGAACAACCCCAGAGTCTCACTTCCTGAAGAGCAGCCTCAGGTCTTCCCGCAATTCAGAGGAACAACTTTCTTCTTAGTTCTGTGAAAATTCAAGTGATCATTTCCCACGTGGGATTTTTATATTTTGCACTGCATGCCTTGAAGAAGAACCACTGTAATGGTTCCTCGGGAATTAGGAGTAAGGCCAGAGTCTTGGGGGGTTGTAAGGCTGCTCCTCTTGCCTCCCTACAGCCTTTTGGTATCCCAAGATTTGTCTCCCTTTAGACATGACAGGGAACTGCTTGGAAAAGATAGATCACCTCTTAGAGTTGTAGAATTTCCTGTCGTGCCTTATAAATGACTATAAAGTTATTTCTCAGCAAGCTCTTTCTTTTTTAGATTGCTACATGGGTATGCTGCATCAAAAATCCATATTTGGAGTTTGTATTGATATTTCTTTTTTTTTTCCCCCTTTCATAATATCAATGCCTGAGTAAGAGCTATGAACTCTGCTTCTTGACTTGAAGTATATGGAGGAAAAGGTTTGGGGCTCAGTGACCTGTTGTAAACTGACAACTGCATAACCTGCCTCTTGATGTCCTTCTTGAATAAAGCTACTTCCAACAGTGAACCACACCTCCCCAGGTCGCTTATGTCCTGACTGCTTGCATAGGTCTGGGAAATCTCCTGTTCAAAAAGGTGAAATGCCAGTCTTGATGGTAACCTCAGGAGCATCTAAAAGCACAGCCTGGTGTAGTCCCAACAGCTAAAAACTGCTTTGGCCTTTGGTTGATTTGGGGAGTTGCTGCCAGTTTTACTAGTAGTAGAACACTGTGGGACAATTAAGCTCTACTAGGTTTTCCAGAGATAACAGAAGCCAAAGGAATGGAATTGTTTACTCATTAATCCAGGGTCACACAGGGTTTCTTACAAGAGATGGACATATCTATGACAGGAGAATTGCAAGTGTCCCTGGGCCTCTCCAATCATCTTTATGGGGATTATGTTGAGGATTTTGGCGGGCCAAGCCTCTCTCTGAGTGCTGGTATAGTCAACCTTCCATTGCTCTGAGTCAGAAATATGGGCTACAAAGAGCTAGGTGTCAACTGTCCTTTCTATATCATCCACTCCTCAGGCTTATATCAGGTCTAGACCATTGTATCAAAACCCTGCCTGAGTTCTGAGAAGTCCATGTGTAAGGTTATGGGAACTGTCCTGGATGTGTGTCCTAAGGTCCAGTCACGCTTGCTTCCCCAGCCAGCTTTGCTAGGCCCTACTATCCTGTCTCACAAGTACCCAACAAAAACTCAGAATCAAGATCCTTTTTCTAGAATGAAGAGGTCTTTGAGATTCTTGGGTCACTTTTGTTATACGGTCCACAGAGCTGTAGGAAAAGAACTTTGAACAGTTCAGAGATGAAGCATCCTTCAGCACAAATACTTCCTCCAAATTATACAAGAGTGATCAAAAATATGCTGAATATCATTATTAAAAAGAAATTATTGCCAAGAACAGCAAATTAAGTGTGCTTAAAGAAAAGAAATATTACAAAATATTGAGGCAGCATTCATAGTCATTTGGTTTTTACTGTAACATTTTTATATCTTAATATTCATTGCTTTTTTATTATTCATTGCATTTTTAATCACCTCTTGTTGATCAACTGTTTATGGCAATTTCTATCAAATACATTACAGTGGGTCTCCAGGAGAAATTAAAGTCCAGAGGCCTAATTTATAAGTTATTGTAAAAGGACCTTGAAAAATTTTTTTCTTGAGTGAGTTTTTTTGGAAGGAAAAAGAGCTTGCCTTGAAGTTATAATTCCTAAAACTACAATTATAAAACTTTGATTATCTGTTTTTTACTTTTTCTGTCCTACTTCCACCAGGTCTGGCATCATGCAAAGTCAAAATGCCCAGGAAAATTAAATGTTTTGGGCTGGAGATATAGCTCAGTGGCATAAGTGCCTGCCCAGTAAGCACAAGGTCTTGAGTTTGATCCCTGGTACCACCATAAAGAAAAGTAAATGTTCTCAATCAACTCAGGCCAGCAAAGCAGCGTAGAAGGTGCAACACTCAGGAAAGAGGACTTCCAGAACTGCTTCACAAAGTGGCAAGAAGGACGGGTTAAGGGTGTTGGAAGGGGTGGGGAGAGGGGAGTATTTCGAGGAGGAAACATGGCAATGTGTCTAATAAACATTCACTGCATTTTTGTGGGTTTATGCAGTGTATGTATGCTTGGAGTTTAATAAGCAACAAGTATAAAAATCAGAAAGTTCTCCTCATGTGCAACGCAAAGGGCTCTTCATTCGCCTGGCAGATTTTGTAGAGCTCGTCTCCTGAGACCTTGGACGCCTTGCAACTAGCGCTACAAAATGGAACTTGAAAAGTTAGATGTTTTCTTTTAGCGATAAGCAACCTCTCCAAACATCCTGGTTAAGCTAACGAATATACTGGTGCCCTCGGCAGGAAGCCTGGAGTCGTTGGCCTTCCACAAGAAAGGGGCCACGCAGCTGAAGATAACTGGCAGTGATAAAGCAAGCGTAGGGATCTGCACTCTCTCTACTGTCCCTCAGCCGAGCCTTACTATAAAAGCCCCTTGCCCTTCTGTACACCGGGAGACGGTGATTTGGAGCAAATGGGCCGCTCCTCCTCCTGGGAGACAGCTTTGAACAAGTCCTTTTTTGTTCTACTTTTCCTTTTTAGCAAACTATCTGGCCTCCTTTGATTTAGAGAGGAAAGGGACCTGAGTTTAGGAACCTAAGTGGGCAGTAACGCCCTTGCTGCTCACTCCTGCCGCCTCCAGAGTGCATTCCCTAAAGCCTAGCGAGCAAGTGCAAACCACTGGTGGTGAGTGCCAGCGCGCACACGCACGTGTGCTCCCACGGCTGAGAAATAGAGCCGGGCTCTTTATGCCTCGTCCGCCCGCGACAGGAAGGCAGACAGCGGCCTCGGCAGCCCCAGCCGGCCCGGAGACGAGCAGGCCGGGCGCGCGAGCAGGGAGGAGGTCGGGTGCGCGCGGGGACGGGGCCTGCTGACATCAGCGCGCTCCTCCCCTCGCCTCCCAACACCCTCAGCTCGGGGCCGGACCCTCCCTCCTCCCACCACGTGTCCTCCCCGGTCCCTCCCGAGGGGCCGCGCGCACGGGCAGCCGGGCAG